GAGGTCAAGTGATCCTCCTGTCTCAGGATCCAAAAATACTTTTAAAACAAATCCTAAACTCTGAAAGCATTGTCTGCAATGTATTATACTTGGTCATAAGAAGATATAAACAGACTAGTAAGCATTTCTACTAGGTGTAAAACAAAAAGGTTGTACTTTGAGAATTAATTTGGTATCCAGATTATTCTCTGAATATCCCCTTTTAAAGTTCACTAAAATTTTATTTTTAATAAATTTGCTCTGCAATGTTATGTTTTAACTTGTAAATTAAATACATTCTTGTAACAATTGTACAAATATTTAGTTTTGAAGTATTTCAGATATACAGAAAAATGTTAATATTGCAATTAATGACATCCATGCAGATTAGCAAGTATTAACATTTTGCTATATTTGCTCAATTTTTTTAATGAAATCTTACACACAAAACTAAAGCTCCTTTCTCCTATGCATATTTTAGTATTTTCAGTAAGTATATATAACTCTGAACAATATATACTATTGTGTGTTTTTCAGTTGTGGAAATAGAAACTTACTCTGCTGGTAGGAACTTAAGTTGGTAGAGGCTTTGGAGAACAGTTTGGCAATACCAGAAGAGTTGGCAGTGGTGTGTGTCAGTTGTCTCATGCTGCACAACAAACAACCCCAAAACTTATTGGCTTAAAACAGTGATTTCTTATTTCTCCTAATTTTGTGGGTTGCTGGGGTAGTCCCTCTGTTTGTTTTACCTGGACTCATTGATGCAGCTGCATTCAGCTGGGAGATTGGCTGGGCTGGAGGGCTCATAATGGCCTCAGTCACATGTCTGGTGGTTCATGCTGGTTGTTGGTTCTCTACATGTGGCCTTATCACTTGCAATAGGCTAAACTGGCTTCCTTATGTGGTAGTCTGAGGGCAGTGGTCCAAGACACAAGACCTCTTGAGGTCTGAGCCCTGAACTTGCATAGTGTGACTTCCATGTGTTTTGTTGGTCAAACCAAGTCACCAGCTCCACCTTTTGATGGAAGGAGTGGCAGAGTCACACTGCATAGAAGCATGGAAAGACATGTCGCCACTATCTTTGAAGACATATCCTATAACTCAGCTATTTTACTTTTATCCCAGAGAAAATCTTTCATAGATAGAGACATGCACACATTGTTCACAGCAGAATTGTTTATAATAGCAAAAAAGTAAAAACAGTTGAACAGTCATTCCAGGAAGAAGCAGATAATAAATTTTAGTTTACTCATATAATAGAATATCATATATCAATTAAAATTAATGATCACTGGATAATTCTAAAAATAGGTTGAAAGAAAAAATCAGGTTGGAAAAGAGTATGGTAGTATAATAGCCTTCAAGTTCAGTATTTGAAGTTTCTCAGGTAGGCTAATGAAGATTTTGCTTTTGCTTCTGTTTTGAAATCAAAACTGATCTTTGGATGGTCTCATTAGAGCGTGGGGCTCACGAGTAGCTTCCATCCTTGAATGGCCAGTTCAGCTGACTGAACCAGATTGGCTGACCAGACTGGCTGTCACTGAAAAGCTTGTGTTTAACTTCTTGGCCATTTGGGAAAGTGTAGCTCTTTCATTTGGGAAGGTGTAGGTAGAGCTGATAAAGGTTTAACTTCATCAGTAATGTCAGAAAAGTCCGCGTACAGTACAGTTTCTTTTTAAATTTTTTTTTTCTAGAATATGGTTTCTTAACATATTCATTTGATACCACCGTCTACATCTGTACCAGGTTTAACCTCCATTTCTTACCTGTAAATGGGAAGCATGATAGTTACCTCGTAGAGGTGTTGGGAAGATGAATTGAGCTAATAATGCATTTAGAGCAGTACTTTTTATATGGTAGATCCTCTCTATTAACAGTAGTTAGAAAAATTAACAAGTATATAGGATGACATCTATGTTAAGTTCACTTTCAAAGGTATTGTAATGGGTAGGTAGCATTGATTACCTAATCATAGGTACTTTAATTAAAATGGACTACTGTAATTATGAAAGTCCATTATGATTAACTATAATACTTTACATTTTAAAGGAAAGTTACATTTACAAACTTTTTTCCCCTTAATTATCTGATTTTGTTGTCAGGACAACTTCGTAAGATAGTTATGTTCAATTTAGAGACATTAAATATTAGTTTCAGGAGAGATTAAATAAGCAGTGTTAGCAGAAAGCTTATGTTGGTTCTCATGAAGGCACATTAAAATGGGAATAATGGTACCAAAATACTTTGATTTTTATCACTTGTGTTTATGTGCTTTACCTACCTAGATTCTGAATAGTTTTATCTCTGTAGATTTTTCACCCTTCTGTGTGTGTGGGAAGGGGAAGGAGGAGGAGGAGGAAAAGAGATTGTAGAGAGGGTTAAGTGAATCTTAATGGGACTCTTTGGAAAGGGAGATCTGCAGCCTGCCTCTCAGATCCAAAAATGTTACATTAACGCCACCCTCCCAACTCCCTGTATTTTAAAATAGCCGAGCAGATTGGCAAGTTTTATTTGTTTTTTGTTTTTTTTTTCAAATTTGTAAATGTTCAATGGCAACTAAGTGTATGCATCAAAGATTTGAGATTTCTCTAGATTGACTATGGATTAGAATTAACCACCAAATTTACTAGCCTTGTAGGATTTGCTAAGCCAATGTGACAAATTTATTTGGTGACTGCTGTTTATAAATGCATTGATTCAATTAAATTCTTTCTTCAAGATAAAAGTTACGCTTTTTTTTTTTTTTTAATTTCCTTTTTTTGGTTGTAAGCTTTAAAAGTTTGAGATAGGTTGGGTGCGGTGGATCACTTGAGGCCAGGAGTTTAAGACCGGCCTGGCCAACATGACAAAAACCTGTCTCTACTAAAAATACAAAAATTAACTGAGCGTGGTGGTGCATGGCTGTAATCCCAGCTACTCAGGAGACTGAGGCACAAAAATCGCTTGAACCTGGGAGGCGGAGGTTGCAGTGAGCCGA